CCTGAGAACATGGAGTTACCTTCACCCGCGATTTGAAGTTTCACTGGCGATTTTTCTGAGCTTGCGACCGGTTAGTAAAGTAGGGGAAGTCGTGTAAATGACTAACATAGTTTATCAAAAAAAATATTACAGAAATGTGTTCACGATACTTGACATGAATGTCCCTCATTTTTTGAAAATGTTGTAAGAGATAATTTAACTCCTGTCATGAACTGATAGCAAACAGAAGTAATTTGTTAGCGAGTACTAGAACGTTGGGTCAATTTATTTGAGTGAAATTTTATCCAAGGCACTGTATAGTTATAGGTGTTACTTTATCGACCAATCTAGTAACTCGGCCACAACTCAAAATTCAGTGATGAAATCCATTAGATAATGAAGATTAGAAAACATGAAAGTTGCTAATTCCCAGAAACAATTCACTATATCTAGTATAGTTCTACAAGGCTTAAATCGCCGCCAGAATATCTGAATGGTGGTGTCCCTGATGGTAGCATAGGAGGAACATCAGTTTCTTCGAAGACCTTTATACGCCTTACTGGCAGGTGCCAAAAAGCACAAAACGTAAGTGAATGGCTTTCTACAGGCAACTTCCGTTCGTACGAATGAATGACAAGAAAATTGTGATAATTCTCCCTCACTACTTTTAAGCAGAAAAGTATTAAGTTTTATAAAATAACATTTCCTACCACATTAGATTAATTTCATAGTGAAGCAGTATTAACAACTAGATGACGTTTCGAGTATAAATTATTGCTCATAATCATATTGATATTCTAAATGATATAATTATAAGCAATAATCTATGATCGAAACATCTAGTTGTTAATACTGCATCATTGTATGATATTTAAAATAAACTTATCTAATATGGAATTACATCCTACCACAATGTCCAGGTTTTACACTTATATTTCCTACCAGACTTTGGCAGTTCATTTCCAACTAAAATAAGCTAACTGTTGCTATTATAACCAAGGGGAATTATCTGCCTTACAACAGAAAAGAATGTACCGAAGCTTATGAACTTCAGTGGATAACATATTTCACCTACCTCCGTACTGTACACTGAATTCTGTTTCCGTGCCACAATATCACCTGAGAGTAAATACTGGATATACGTTACGAGGTGTATCAACAATCTGAAAGGAAATATATGCAAAATTAAAGCACGGTGAAGTACACCAGTAATCGAAATTTTTTATTGCTTGTTAAGGCCTTGATGAATAGCAAGTTATTACTATTACTACTAATGCTATTATTGTTACATTTAGAACCAAACTGAAGGGTGAAAAATTATAATTTCCTCATCCAAATTCTTCCTCTGCCTTACTCTGTTTAACACATAACTTCTCATAGAAATGCAAAATACTGATCAGAAATAGTGGGTAAGTAATAGGCCAGTAGCAAGAATTCAATGATAATGATTATTATAAGATAATATTATTGTTTCCCTTAGTTCCCAGAGGAACATAGGGCTTCAGCTGCTCGTCTCCATTGAGTTCCCTTCTCTGACAACGTTTTCACCTGGCTCCACGTATACCCACATGCTTTAATCTCCTCTTCACATGACCTCTTCCATGTCATCCCACCCTCGTAATGACGACCAACTCGCCGCTTCCCATTCAGGTCCCACTTGAGCAATGTTCTGGCGTGTGATGTCACTTGATGGTTTGCTTTCTCAGAGTATGGCCACCAATCCACCTCCACTTCTCCCTGCATATTTGTTGGACAATCGATTCCTGGCTGGTTCACCCTCAGAGATCTCTCCCTGCTGCTGATCCTTTCTGTCTAATTATCTGGTCTTGAGTATTGGGAGAAGACAGCTGTTGGTGAAGGCCTGTAGTTTGATCGAAGTGCTCTTCGTGATGTGGCACCAAGTGTCTGATCCGTATAACAAGTAGCACTGACTTCATATTGGAGTTGAAAATCCGGATCTTGATTTTTATGCTCAGTGCTGTTAATCTCCACACAGACTTGAGAGTATTGAAAGCTTGCCTTGCTTTTCCCATCCTCGCTTTGATATCCTCGTCAGTTCCGTCCGCCTGTATTTGAAACGATGCTTTCCAGGTGGGTAGGTAAGTAGGTACGTAGGTAGGTAGGTAGGCAGTTAGATAGGTGAAGGGGGTTGTTTCTTTCAGATTTACCCCATTTATGCTGATTGTTGTTTGTTGTTGTTGCTGTTGCTGTTGGCCAGGAATCTTCATCACCTCTGTTTTTTCTATGTTCTCGTGAAATCCTATCTTCGCTGGATGCTTCTTCTGCTGACTTGTTGCTTTTCACTTGTACATCTTCCAGTTTGTGGGAAATCAGATATGCATCATCGGCGAAGTCCAGATCCTCCAAGTATTTTGTGTGGGTCCATTTTATGCCTGTGTCATTGTTGCCTGCTATGTGTCTGTCACACTATCCAGTCTACCGCCCACAATCAGGAAAATCATTGGAGATAGTAGGCAGCCAGCCAGCCAGCCAGCCTTATCTTACTCACGTCCTCACTTCGAAGTATTCCATGAGTTTCTTTTTGTGGATTATTTGTCATTCAGCATTGTCGTACAACTGTTGGATGAGATGTATAGTTGTTGGTGGTACCTCGTAGTAGTGAAGTAGTTGCCAAATCACCATTCGATCGACGCTGTCGAAGGCCTTTTCAAAATTAATGAAGTTGAGATAATGATAATGATAATAATTATTATCATAATCACTTTAGTTATATTCAGCAAAATGATCATAATTGTGACAAAGTTCCAGAGATATGAAATACAGAATCATATGGTAAAGGGACATCGATACTTTCACTGATATAAGAATAGAACTTGGGCACTGTGGTAAAGAATGATTCCACCATAGAGTAAACTTCTTTGACAAAATCACACAGTGATATATAGTATTATTTGCTGATGATGAAACTGGACTTCAGAAATGTCCTAACCCGTTGAGTAATAGTCATGAAAGTAGAAAGCTAGTATAAGTATTTGTAAGAGGTAAAATAGCAGTAAGAATGTGAGTCCGAAATTATAACAGCCATACAAATGTTCCCTCTACTGAAACAATTAGATTGTTTGTTCAGATCCTTATAATCTGAGCAGTTTATGAAAAGTGAATTCTGACTTTATAAGCGAGATACATTTAGGTCTCGTTCATCGCCTTTTATACACTGATTTGACTTTCAACTAGATGAAATCCAGTGGGACTTTGCAAATATCTCATTCACCCCTTCCTAGTTAAAAAAAGACATCTGACAACACTCTGACTAAACTAGTTTGCACTGTGTTATGCATAAATGTCCACGTAAAAAGAAAATTAATTTGGTAAGTATATACGAAGAGAGCAGAACAGAGAGTGGAGTTAGGTAGTATAATGGGCGTTAATATGTGAAGAATATGATAATAATCCTTCTGTTGAATATATCAGGTCATATATGGTGAGGAATGAAAGTACTGAAAAAACGATATCGATTAAAAAACATTGGTCAGCAAGGAATATTTCTCCGCAACTTGTGATCAAATAGTGTTCCTAAAATGTTATGAAAATGTAGATAAAGGTCAGTTCTTAATATGCAGTAGCTAAATAACATCAGGCAGGGATTTACAACTGTAGATGTAAGAGTAGAATCTGACACATTTGTAGCATATAACTCCACGATACAAAAATTTCATTTGTTGTAACACTCAGCCATACAGCATCAGCTCAATTTATAATGAACAATAAGTGGAAAGAGCATATTATCAGTTTCATATAGGAGCTCTGGGCGCACAAGGCTTAAATCAATTCAGACAACATGCTTGGTTATCTGAATGCATGATGTCTTGGCCTATAAATGTATGTTTTTGTAATTAAAGTGCCCAGGTGTCACTCACGTAATACCATATGGCGAAATCCATCCAGTGGATTTCACAGGATTCCAGAACTACTTCTATTGAACTTGCTATTTTAGAAAAGTTGAATATTTTACCTAGCAGTTCACCTATTTATGATATTGACCTCATATCACCTAAAATCGTTGGTATGCATCTGTTCTTATTTCTGAACAACTAAACACTGGCAAAGACTAAGGATTTAAGATTTTTTAAAATTTTTGTATTATTTTTTGATAACAACTTGGTTCCACACCGTATTTTTGTTACAGGTATGAAATTTTCAGCATTTGATATCGGTAGCCCAAATTTTGCAGGCCGACCATAGATATCAGGTGTGCGTCGGCAGAGGATCGAACCCCCGACCATGTGCATGATCGGCGAGCGTCACAACCGCTGTGTCACCGACATTTAGTATCAAAGCAACAAACACATTTCATCTAGATGATTGGAAATAGGAAGATATGTGCTAATATACTAAAAAGAAATGAAAAAGAACGTTTTTAAAATAGTTGCACTGTGGATGAATATGACTTAGTTGCTTAATAACTGTAAGTAGTACAAATTGTAGTCAAAAAGGACAACAGTGCTAATGAAATGAATTGCACTGAGAACAGAACAACGTAATTGCAGGGGAACCAAATCTACTACATGAAAATACTGAAGGGTGCGAAACAGACTTTCAACTGGGATCCTTTTAGGAGTGAAATATGCATTTTAAGTCGTAAATTCAACTATAGGTTTCTTCTTACAACCTTTCCGGAATGACCTGTGATTTAAAAAAAAATATGTAATAAAACAGTTCTAATTCGGCTTCAAAGTATGCATTCCATCTTAAATAATTAACCAGCTTGACTATAATATTCTACTATAATGTTAAAGTAATAGTTATACAATAAGGCTCAGTTAAGTTTTCATATGTCAGATCGATAATAAATATGCGTAAATCACAAGTGCAATTAAAGTTATCTATTTTAAATCAAAATGAATTAGATAATCTCCCATCAGTATATTTTTTACTGCATAATAAAATTATGTTCAATAGTACACTTTCCTAATTTAATCTCTCCTTGTTTCCGTATATATAATCGAATCAGTTAACCGCTACTGAATTTTCTCAAATTTTTTTTGAATTCTGACCATTAAGTTAAGTACCCATGAATATTCAGTTATCAGTAATTCTAACTACCTTGATATTCTTTATTCAATGCATTCAGTCATTATCTTACAAGAATGAGAATGCCTATTATGTGGTACGTTCACCAAAAACTGAGAAACGAACACATACAGAAGACGAAAGTCTAGTTCATTATAAAGAAAAAACGAAAATCGATACAGTAGCCAAAACTGCTGTTAAAACAAACAATGGCACATCATCACCGTCATCAAAGCCGTATACTGGTTATTATAAACCATCTAACAATAAACCGAACGTTACAACAAGTTCAGAAAGCCTATATCAGGATAAAAATACAGTGAAATACGAAAAGGCTATTAAAAATCGTCGGGAAATTAGTGAAGTTATAAAGTATATACCAAAGAATAATAATGGCTATACACCGAACTCAAATAAGCCTACTAATAATAACAACAAAAAGAACAATAATAATAATTATAGAAATGCCAACAGCAATAGTAATGGTAATAATGGCAATTACGTAACCGACGATTATAATGATTATAATTACGACTACAACGTTAACTATGAACCTTATTTTTATGAAAACAACGGATACAACAATAACAACAATGAAAATTACGACACCAGTTACAACTACAATGAAGATTATGGCGAATATACACCTGGTAGCCACAAGCGTAATAATTACGACGACGACGGCGACTATCACAATTATGATGATAATTACAATTACGAAAATAATAACGGACAGTATAATCGCTACAGATACAATGGCAACAGTAATAATAACAATACTTCTCATTATAACTTCAAGCCTTATAACCGTAATAACCAAAGGGGTAACAGACACGGTCACCGTCCTAAGCGCAACAGATTTGGAAAGTTTAAAAATGGGCCTAAATTTAACAGTTATCACTACTATCCTACTGATTACTATGACAGTGATAATGGTTACTACAATAGTAATAACGACAATTACTTTAATGAAAATAATAATGATAATAACGGCTATGGCACTAGATACACTGAAGGTGACAATTATGAATATAGTGCAAAGAATAATTATGACTATGAGGAGAATCATTATAGCATAAATGGTCGTAATCATAACAACAATGCAAAACACCAACACAGAGGTAACAATGGTAAGTTCAATCGACCCAATGGTCAACTTCGTGGTCGTAATTTGCACAGCGGTAATAATAATAATAATAATAATAATCGCGCATATAAGGCTGACAGTTATCAGACTTACAGACAGGATAATAAACCAAGAAAAGATAATCGAAAGAAGAATGAAAATCAAAATTATATAGAAAATAAACCTAAAGAAAATTATTCTAACGACAATAATAATGACAATAGTAATAATTATGGTGGATACACGAAAGATGAAGAAGGCAAAGAACAAAAATATGGGGATGAAAAAGACAAGGGCGAAGATGAAATACCTGGTCTAGGAAATCAGAACAACTTCATGCCACCAGGAGGCGATGGTTATTTCGGAGGTATGATGGGAATGATGAATATGGGTAGTTCAAGCTTGGGATTTTAAAATTACAAAGATGATAAACAACATAAATAATACAGATTGTTATGACATTAATAATATCTTTTAATTGATTAAAACTTTTACTATAACTGACTTCTAACAATGTTCTTCTTCTTGTCAGTTAATTTATAATCTTGAATTTTTATCATTCATGTAGCTTGCGTTTACTGTTAGTACTGAATACACTCTTTTGAAAAAGGAAACTAGCGCTTTATTTAAAACAAAGAGTAAGTGTTTAACTGAATTTTAGATTTTCCCATCGATTGATTGGACTGGGGAATGCAGGTACATCCAGATGACTAGTCTGCAACAGGAAAAAATGCGCATGCTGGATTGCATGCTGGATTTCCATGACATAAGGTACCGGCTATCTTAAAAGCACTTGTAGAACAGTTCCCCTATCTCCCTTGACATATACACACAATTATTTTGGCCTTTTTCTTAGGGCTATCCTCCCTCAAAAGGCATAAATGGCCAACGGTGCTGTCAAAAAATTATGTACACGTTTATCTGCAAATATTCAGACCATAGGGTTTACGAATTTGCAACACTTTTACCTAGTTGCCCTTTTGTAATGCTTTTGAGTAGGTTAATCAACAAAAACATACAATAAACTGAGTCAGAGCAAATTTTTCGCAACCATCTATTTAGTAGCGGATGTTTAATTATCCTTTAAGTTTCTTCGTGAAATAATGACAAAGACAATTGCTTGTTCTTGTAAAAAAATATATCTAATATATAAAAAATAATATATCTAAGCTTTGTGAGCTCCCAGTGTTAGTCATTTTATCTGAAAATGGTCTTTCCTACTGAAAAGTATTCCATACATTGAAACTCATGCCCTTCATTCCATACAGACCATTCTGTTTAATTTATCCCACCAGGGGATAAGTCCTACCTTAGATATTCGAAGGCTGACATATACAACCACTCATTAGTGTGAATTGGAATCACGTGTCCTGCTGAATAATAATAATAAGTATGAAAAGTAGAACCATAACTTCCTATTGACTGATTTCCAAGGTTTATTAATGAAATCAAATTGTACGATCATGTAAAGAGTGTTCTTATGAATTGGTCTTTCAAACACAATGCATTCCTGATCCATCGATTTTAACTTACACAACTGATTTCTGTCATATGCAAGTGAAAAATATATCACTGTATTGTTCATTCAGAACTGATCATTTTAACTGGTGCGTGTACCGAAAACCGATGCCAGTAAGAAAACTATTAAAACTGAAGGAGCGTTGAGTAGTTGTTAAGTCGAATTTATTACTTTTCATCAGTTTACACTCACAATCTTTTTGGAGATAGAACATAGGACTATCGTTTCTTTAGGCAAGCATTATATCACACAGTGTTACTCGTAAGGGAACCTACGTATCTCAGTTAACGCAGAATATAGTCCCAACAAAAATAATTTATGAGCCTGTTTGTTGTACTACAGAGTGATTCTTAATTATTTAAAATATTTCTGTTCGTATGTTTTTTTGCTTAGGCATCCAAATTTCAAGTAGTAGGTACTGCGATGGAAAATTCTTCACTATCCGACGTTTATTTCTAATTATATTGAACTAACCAAAATAGAGGCAGATGGTTTAAACTGATTCGGGTGTCTGAACTGTGTTAGTTTGGGTACTCTATAAACGAAATCGGCCGGGAATGACTGAAAAAGACATCCAGTGTTGAAACTACTTCGATCTCGTTAGCCAGCACTACTGCCTCATGTGAGTACTTTTAAGCTATTGAAATTAGTTATTAGCACATGAGGAATTTGTTGACATATAAGTGCTTTTGTTTGAGGTAGATGAAATGATTAAGGTTTAAGTGTTTTGCAAATCACTGTTTTCTTTCCGACGATTTAACACCTTAGAAAAGTAACCAAAACCGAATTTAAGACCTATTATTCAATGTAAATATACCGAAATCACTATTTCACGAGAGGTAAACTTAAGTATAAGTCTTTCCACCACACCCTTCACACTATTTGTGTATATTGATTATGAGTAAATCTATCAGTAGTATACGCTTTGACGACCTTAAGATGCGGGAGGGTTCGACAGTTGCCTTAAAAACGTTTTAAAGAAAATGTACATAACAAGATAGGGAATGGAAAACTGAAGCGAAACCTTCTTTACCCGAAAGGATAAGATTAGTGTTTGCTTAGAAGAAATCTTATGTGATTTTACACTATTCCTCTAGTACTGGCTGTATTTCAACCACTATATATTTCCAAGTGTCCTACTAGTAATTTCCCCTTGACAATCAGTAAACACTGTATACAGTAAGTCAAAACAAGTAATTCAGCGAAGAGACTGTTTTCAACGAATTTATCATCAAGCTGTACAATCGTATATATATATATATATATATATATATATATATATATATGGTTTTTTTTAAGAAGTTATATCCGGTGAGGGAATTGAATCATAGATGTGAATGCAAAAAACAAGAATAATAATAACAGAATGAAATGCAATTAAAACTGAAATGTTTGTGATTATAATCATAATCATAGCTGAACAGTTCAGAGTGAGAATAGTAATAGTAACAATTGACGTAATAAGGAAGAGTATACAAACTGAAAAGAAAAAATGAAAAATTGGTAGAGCTAAAATATGATTGGGGATTACCATACTTTAGCATAGAGGGATTAAGACCATGAAAGTTGGAGGCGTTGAATGAACTTTTCTGTACACAGAGACCTGGCTTTTCTGTTTCGATAGCCAAAGCTTCAGCAACGACTGATATACCTAGCTCCACAAAAGCAGGTGAATTGATAAACACACATAGAGTTGGTCAACAGTGGGATCTTGTCCTTCAGGTTATTGAACAGTAATGGTCGACTAGTAAAGGCTATTCTCAGAGATGCAGCAGGGAATGTTCTTTTTAGGGACTGGATATTCATCGTTTCATGATACTGGAAACTAAATCCCCTTTGAATTCCAAGCTCATGTAAAGTATTTTCTTGGGAGCGGTCGATAAGTCACGTTTTATAGGATTTGAATGTATATTCTTATCTATAAAACGTGGTGGAAATCCATTTCGTATTAGGATTTTTCTCAAAAGGTATAACTCATCTTCCACAATATCAGGGCTACATATGCGCCGAATACGGGTGTTGAAAGTATTCTCTAATATAATCAATATTCTTCTCATGTTTGTGCGTCGGTGGCACAACGGTTAGGACGCTCGCCGACCATGCACACGGTCCGGGGTTCGATCCCTGGCCAGGAATAATGCTCATTGTAATAAAGGTTTTTGTATTTCCCAATGAATGAAAAACAAATATCGAAGACGTTTTATGAGCATATTTTCCAGAGGATTCCCTTGTAGTTCCCGTGAATCCCTTCAGATGATATTAAGACTAGTTTGTAGGCTTTACCTGGTAATCAAAGCCAGTTAGAGGTACTAAGACAGATTAAAGAGATTTTACGCTTCTCTGTTTTGTAAAACTGGTAAGATTTTACATTTAGAAGGTAAACACTGAGTGATTAAATATTGCATACTAAATTTATTGTTTCAAGTAGGTCATAAAATATTTATCAAGTAACAGTTAAACAAATTGAATCTAATGCAAAATATTGATTTTATGCCTTACCGGCTATAAAACGTTTACCTCTAGACGAACTAACAATAAACTATGAGATTTTATGAACATTTCTATCAACAGAGTTGCATGATTTTATGTTTGTTTAATTAAAAAAAGAACAACAATTCAGTCTCTGAGATGTTTAGTTACATTTCTGAATTTATTATTATTACTGTTTCTTTTAGTTCCCAGAGGAACATAGGGCTTCAGCTGCTCGTCTCCATTGAGTTCCCTTCTCTGACAACGTTTTCACCTGGCTCCACGTATACCCACATGCTTTAATCTCCTCTTCACATGACCTCTTCCATGTCATCCCACCCTCGTAATGACGACCAACTCGCCGCTTCCCATTCAGGTCCCACTTGAGCAATGTTCTGGCGTGTGATGTCACTTGATGGTTTGCTTTCTCAGAGTATGGCCACCAATCCACCTCCACTTCTCCCTGCATATTTGTTGGACAATCGATTCCTGGCTGGTTCACCCTCAGAGATCTCTCCCTGCTGCTGATCCTTTCTGTCTAATTATCTGGTCTTGAGTATTGGGAGAAGACAGCTGTTGGTGAAGGCCTGTAGTTTGATCGAAGTGCTCTTCGTGATGTGGCACCAAGTGTCTGATCCGTATAACAAGTAGCACTGACTTCATATTGGAGTTGAAAATCCGGATCTTGATTTTTATGCTCAGTGCTGTTAATCTCCACACAGACTTGAGAGTATTGAAAGCTTGCCTTGCTTTTCCCATCCTCGCTTTGATATCCTCGTCAGTTCCGTCCGCCTGTATTTGAAACGATGCTTTCCAGGTGGGTAGGTAAGTAGGTACGTAGGTAGGTAGGTAGGCAGTTAGATAGGTGAAGGGGGTTGTTTCTTTCAGATTTACCCCATTTATGCTGATTGTTGTTTGTTGTTGTTGCTGTTGCTGTTGGCCAGGAATCTTCATCACCTCTGTTTTTTCTATGTTCTCGTGAAATCCTATCTTCTCTGGATGCTTCTTCCGATGACTTGTTGCTTTTCACTTGTACATCTTCCAGTTTGTGGGAAATCAGATATGCATCATCGGCGAAGTCCAGATCCTCCAAGTATTTTGTGTGGGTCCATTTTGTGCCTGTGTCATTGTTGCCTGCTATGTGTCTGTCACACTATCCAGTCTACCGCCCACAATCAGGAAAATCATTGGAGATAGTAGGCAGCCAGCCAGCCAGCCAGCCTTATCTTACTCACGTCCTCACTTCGAAGTATTCCATGAGTTTCTTTTTGTGGATTATTTGTCATTCAGCATTGTCGTACAACTGTTGGATGAGATGTATAGTTGTTGGTGGTACCTCGTAGTAGTGAAGTAGTTGCCAAATCACCATTCGATCGACGCTGTCGAAGGCCTTTTCAAAGTCAGTGAAGTTGAGGTAGAGGACATTCGGGTCAAAATGATTCAATGAATGAGAAATGCAAGCTAACTTAAACAGTAAAAAGTAGCCCAGTTGACTTGCCTATTCAGATTTTACTGGGTTGAAACACAACCATTATGCATGCAAAAAAGGTGTTCCCGGTTATCTACTGCATTCGACTATGTCTTCTATCAGCATCTGAAGTGGTAGCAGTTAACTCCAGAAGATCCAGTATTTGTGCGTCGGTGGCACAGTGGTTAGGACTCTCGCTCCCCACCATGCACATGGTCCGGGGTTCGAGCCCGCACCGACGCACATCTGATATCTATGGTCGGCCTGCAAAATTTGGCTAGCGATATCCATGCTGAAAATTCCATACTTGTACCAAAAATACAGTGTGGAATCAAGCTGTAATCAAAAAAAAAATAAATAAAGTATATCTAACCCGTATATTTTTCTTGAACCACAATAAGGTCAACGTGTCCTCCATAAACATTGACATTTTATATTCCGAAAGCATTTCGTCTCTTTCTTCCTTTGTTTCATTGAAAAAAGTTCATTTCTGACCTTTTACAACTTCCTGACCTTATTATTTCTAATACCTTAAGTCTATATAATGCTTTTCTAGCATTATTATATTTACACAATCTTGTTCATTCCATTTCACTAAATTCATTATTACATGATATTTGTTTAACAATAGTACTTTCAAGTTCGCACCACACCATTATTATTGTTATTTGTCGCCCTTGAAGTTAGGTCTAGTCTCTCCCATTTGTTTATTAGTTTTCTGTAGTATTCTTACTGTCTCACACACCACTGATTACACTGACCATCGGAGCCTGTACTTTTGTTAATTATACATATATCTACATACATATCACTGAATAATTTCATCTCATTTTATGTCATGTTCTCATTGACCATGAATATTCTAAACGATAATAAAAACTAAGTGACCATTATTTCATCCCATTTTATGCCTGTCCCACAATACATTTCTAATGTCATTCTAACCTGTCTTTACTGGCTAATGTAGGCTGAAAATTATGGGATTTATAATTGCTGAGCCTGAAGAAGAATTTATTGAGAACAGTTATTCGCTTTATTTTATTACTGAAATCCATCTATCATAAAAGTTAGATTTCATTGACTCAGTAAATCACAATTCAATGCACTCTGTAAGTGAATGAAAATAATGTTACATTTATGAGACTAATTTTAATTTTATTTGATTTCATTACGTGTAACGAAATAAGTGACTTTATAGGACATTCTAGCACTGACAGTAATTGTAGAGATAGAGTTGAACGCCTATGTTCAAGTTACGATGTAGTTAACAATTTTCTTCAAATACTTCGACATAAATTATGGACTGAAAATATGTTTGAGGAACAAAATCAACGGTTAAATTTATTGAAATTGCTATGCTTGAAGTAAACGCTAATTTGTATGTCCAGAAAAAATATACATTTACACTTTCCTGATATCACAAAAGTAGGCGTGGTCTATTTTATTATAAATATCTTTTTGTGTTTGCTTACAAATATCATCTAAGAGTTGCACATTCAACTGGTGGCGTTAAATTAAATTTTGGCGGGTACAGTTTCCATATTCAGTTTAATTTTATGAGTGAAAGAGATGTGAGACGAATACCTGATGTACTGCCAGAAGATCATTGTGTAATAATAACCACCACAAATACTTAAACCCGTAGACGTTCAAAAATACTTTTATTCTAACTTCAGAAATAGTGAGACAAAGTCTGTCATATCATTTTGATTGACTACATTTTAAATGATCCATCAGTTTTTATTTTAGTGCTGGTTTTAATGATGTTCTTTCTGCATTCCCAGTTTCGCAATGTTTTAGGTACACTGAGTAGTGAATCCAACTGATAAGAGATGAAATGTGGATATAAGCCAACTGAAGAGGAGAGGATTATTTATGTACAGTATCTGCAATATGCTGCAGGAAACAACTTGAAACTTTCAGCATTTATTAACCGATAAGCTGAATAATTTAAATGAATTTCCAGTTGAACTTTTTGTCAATTACGGTGCTGATCATTGATGGTGTATTTTGGCTGTTTTAGATTATTGTTTTAATGGGAGTTGTTCACTACTACCTGATTAATTTTCAATGATTCTTTAATCAAGACAGCCTGGTGAATTTATTCAGTTTACCTACTTGCCTGAATAGTATGAATTAACAAAACCTGAGTTTTATTTGAATATAATGTAGTAATTATGACGTATATATAAGACTGTAGTTCTTCTGGTAAGCAATTGAAACAAAATACGTTCCTTTCTTTTGATTAAATTCCATAAATTCGAGGCATATGTTCTGCAAGTTTTTCAAATAGCCGCTTTATCACAGTTGAAAATGAATATGACTAACGTTCAGTAGGTGATTTCTTATAGACAATTTCATTATCGAAAGGAATTACTTTTCTTGACGTTATTCATACTTAGACTGTAAACTCCCTAATCAGTATTAAGTGTCTACTATCCTGAAAGATGATCACTTGTTAACCCATAATCAGATTCAGCAAGTATAGATAGTTGGGGTTCATGAATCTACTTCCAACAATCAATTATTTCAAGTGTTGGTTTGTAGGGATTTGATTGGTTTCAGGATTTCATCATGAGCTGACATCAGTTAGAGAACCACTGGAAAACCTGCAGGGAGTACTGGACAGCTGTTTCGTCCTAGTTTGGGACTCTTCATCAGTACGCACCCACCGGGATTCGAACCCAGGACCTTCCGGTTACAAGGCGAGCTCGTATAGCACTAAGCCACTGGGACCCGATCCAATGGTCCTTGAATTCTAACTTCTGCCAATTCACAACATGGCGCGACCGCTAGCCAATGTCTTCGGCGAGTATTTGTCCTCACACCCGACCCGCTGCACCCTACTGGTCACGACTTCCCACTGGAACCCAAGTAACTACCTACCTGAATAGGGCCAGTCGGCAGTGAGCATCTCATTGGTATTCAAGTGTAACCGGAAGGTCCTGGGTTCGAATTCCGGTGGGTGCGTACTGATGAAGAGTCCCAAACTAGGACAAAACAGCTGTCCAGTACTCCCTGCAGGTTTTCCAGTGGTTCTCTAACTAATGTCAGCTCATGATGAAATCCTGAAATCAATTTTTTGTTGAAAAATGATGTTCAGCCTACTGCCGTAAATCTTTAAATTTCAAGAGTGTGCATGTTTTAACGGGTATGAAGGGTGGGAGGATGGGGAAGTTGTAGTAATTTCTTAGTACATATCATAATAATTAAAAAATCTTAACTAATTTATTGCTCAGGATTCATGATTAAAAATTCTAATCTGGTGTACTTCCCTGTTAAAATCACGTGCATTGCACATCAAGAGAAAGATTTAGAGACAAATGGTCGTGTCAAAGAATAAGTTAGTCAAAGTTAAAAGACATTAGTTAATACAGTCATATCCGTTGGCTAAATGGTGAGATTTTTACCTTAATACTTAACAGCATTTGGTTAAAAGGCCCTCTAGTGGTCCTGATTACATACTGGCAAAGAACCCTGGACTATTAGGATGTAGCTATATGGTGCTCCCTAGTTATTAATTGTTCTCCGCACTAGCGTTAGCTGATGGCGTATTTTACTGTTTTCTCGTAATGGTTCTACTTCAGTTTGAAGTGTAGTACACATAAGAAGATAAGTAGTACTGAATTTCACATCATTTGTTATCTTATGTCATTTATTAGTGCCACAGTAATTCGCTGGCCTAGTTGCTATTAGTTTAATGATGACCATGTACCACTAACAAACAAGTGGAATTAGACAGTTGTATCCAACATCCAGTAAACTCGAAGCTAACTAAGCCTACCCACCGAGATGAGCATTATTCATTTTCACATAATAGACATATATTTAAAAGTAAATACTTCAAATTCTGCGGTGAAATATAACAAAGAATAACAACTTTCATAAATTGACACTGTACTGTTTGAGAGTGAAAGGGGGAAAGAGGCAGTATGGATCAGTAATATTTCTTTGGCTGACGAATTACAAGGTAGTACAATGCTTCACGTTGTTTTATTACTTGTCTATCGTAGTGGTATTTTCCTTTTAATTTGCTCAGGAAACTTCTGGATAAATACGGATTGTTATTACTCTGTGGTTTTATATTCTTCTGATAATTATCATAATAGTTATGATGATACTTATTATAGGTATATCCTATCGGCCCATTGTTATCATTCCCACTCAGTGTTGCTTTATCACCGGAAATTCTCTTCTGATCATACTGCTGATGACTGCTTTGTCCGACTAATTTTTCGTCAGATTTATCACCTCCAGTGAATAATGTTGAGTTGTAATTCATCTGAGCACGTAAAGTTGATTCATCATTTTTTCTGTGCTCTGTTCTGATATCATTGTATTCTTTAGTCTCGGTCTTTGTCTCAGTTTCAATAAATTTCAGTTTTTCCACACTAGGAATTAGTTGGTAGTTGGATTTTCGATAATAATTACTATTACTATTATTATTCTGCTTTTTATAAGGATAGTGATAACTGTTCCAGGTGGTCAACGGTCTGTAATACGAATAGTAATTGTTAGTAGTATATCTTTTGTTCAAATAATAACTTCGATAACTCTTAGCATCATAATAATATGGAATGAGATGTTTATGGAAACTAGTATGAATGACTCCGTGTGTTGTATACGTCCAGGTGAATAAGATTAAAATCAATAGATACATGATTATGTTATTCACTGATCTTTCTATATACAACATGAAATTCTCATTAAAATGAAAACAAAAGGACATGCATGAACCTAAACAAATCAGACATTGAGTACTGCGTAGACAGAGTGTTATAACAATCGAGGCATAATGTTACATAAGATGCACTACGTAGTTAATTTTGGTTTTCCTTTTTTCTTTTAGACACTATCAACAACAAAAAATTGATTCATTGCACTCTATTATTTTGATTCACTTAAACAACTTTTTGTTTTCTTATGTACTTAAGCATAAATTATACATTTTATTGTATTTCTTATTGATAATTGATAACTAAGCGCAAATTTGATTTCGTCTTTTTTTTCTGATGCAAAAGTGTAGACATTTTTTTGTATGTGAAGAAATTAGTTAATTAATTAATTAATTTTGAAAGTAAAGTTATTTCGCATTTTATAAATCTAGGGTAGTGCTAGTTAGCGAGACAAATTGAATTTAAAGTATTTATTTTGAGATAAGTTAGTGTGTTTAAGAGTGAAAAAAAAACGAATAGTTCCGCAAAAATATCTTTACGGAAATTTCAGCCTCAAAAGCCATGTAATCGCACTTTTATGTTAAAGTTCACACAATTAGAACAATTATTTAACTCAAAATAGTAACGAAGGCGGATTAATGAAAATAATGATAATTTTCAACTTGATATGAAGATATGAAGGTGTGATGAAAGATGAGCATAAATGCAAAGGAGCACAGAAACAAAACAATATACGGTTAGAAGAATTATTGCGTAATGTGTTGAATAATTTCGAAAAAAGATGGAATGAAACAGAAACAAACTGAAATATTAGTCATCATGACTGAAGATAAAAAGGGTGAAGGGGATAAAAAACGGAGTTTAACGGGACTAGATCCAGAGTAAATGTAGGGGTTAGATTAATTTCTTTTGAACACATAGCTCCAGCTTCTAAGTGCATATAGTGAGGTCTGCTGCAGTACATAGAAATCGGAAACATACTGCCTTTGTCTGAGTTCTGTTTACTTTATAAATGACTCTGAATGATGAGTCTCTTAAGAGGTTGTGTGATGCGCTGATGGGGTGTTACGTAATAATGCTTTAAACTCAATAATTGCCGTCTCTATATAGTCATACTGGGCAGATTTTTATCACTATGCTTAACTAAATAATAAATGTATGACTTCTGAAGATAAAACTTCTTGTTTTCTGTCTGTCATGTCCTGATGGGCATTTTACACTTTTTATTTTGCCCGTTTCTTATTGAAGTGCCTGTGGAACAGAATTTCTTACACACTCATTTTGATGCTTAGATGACTGAAAAAAGCAGTCAGCAGGAACACATAATTAAAACATGACTGGCTAACTAATCATTAAGTAACAGTTAGTAAAATGTGTGTAAGATATGATGCCTTTAATGCTTTAAGAGCCAGGGATTACCGGAAGTAATATATGAGTAGTCTATAGTTTAGATTTCGTACTTTTTCACATTCTGTAGAAAGTTGTTTCTCAAACTGTGAATACTTTTATTTTTCAATGAATACTGGAAGTTATATGACTCACTTGCTCACTATTCAGACATTTTACCATAAAAAATTGAAGCTTAACATGGAATAGTAAATGGCTGTTTTCCACTGGTTTCAAAGTCAGTGTACCCAGCGTCTTTGTAATCATCAACTATTTATTAGTAACTAACATCAGTATAAAGTTCCTACAGTTGTAAAGAGAAAAAGGCAAGGACTGCAATTTTCACTTAGTCGGGTGATGAAACCATTTCACAAACTGACAGAGGTTAGAATTCATGAGCCAATAGTTTCTACTTCAGAGGCTGGTTAGTAAAAGTGCCCAGTCTACTGAAGAGTCCCAAATTATAAATAGAAACTTAATTCATAATGATCCTCATATATTTTGACTACAAAAATGTTATTCTTCGCAAAAACTTCCGATTACTCAACAAAATGACCATAAGCCAATCAGTTCAGTGAGTTCTACAGATTGTAACCTTAGTACTGATTCACGAGCCTTAGATTTAAACTTTTAAAAAATAACACAAACATCTGTCAATCACTTCTTCAATATGTTTGGTTCTCGTGATAATCACTTATCAGACATTTTGCGTTGTTTTGTACTTTGCTAATCGTTACTAACAATCTTTGAACTGTAAGACTTGCAGCTGTATCAAATACCTGCGAAAAACTCCCTCCCTACAAAAGCCCAAAAAACATCCACTTTACAGTAATTCAAACCCATTATACTAAATCGTATGTTGTATGATAATCAGTACAATTCTTTGTTAGTGAAAATTGATAGAAAGGCTATTTATCAAGAGTGCAGTGTTATCAGTAGACCAAATAACCCAACAAAACTTCAAGCACTTTAGTGTAACAGAAACTTCTATCAGTTGATTTTTAATATCCGTTAATTAATTATTTATTAGGACATTTTAAAGACTTCCCGTTGTGTGATCTTATTGAACCGAAATGCTCCGTCGATATATTGGTTTTTAATATGTACTCTTTGGTGATATTATTTAATGAGTAGTGGTAGTCAGTGGAGACGAGGACCGGGGTATTGACCTGTGTAGGATTCGTTAGATAAGTGTACCTGTATTCAAGTTTTATGCTGTTTTAACTGGTAATCAAAGCTAGTATCATCGTTTAGAATCCCAAAGCCTAATTCGCTGGGCCACATCTCAAGGCATAATCGAAAAGTGTTTGTGTCTCAGTGGTAAAACGATCACACTGGGATGCAGGTACCTCAAGACTAAGAGTCTCAGATAGTACAGGCAGCGCATCATGTAATGTATCTTTTGTCACCTCTAACAAACTGACGTCTGTAAAGTGTACCTGCTAACAGAGGAAGTCGGTTCATCTTTAAGTAGAATTTCAACACTAGTATAAAATAATTCTATGGGCACTGCATATTTCTAGCACATTTTTGTCTAATTTGTGTAGATGACATCATCGAGAGAATCACTAAGATTATGCAACACTGGACAACTGTTCTTTTTTTTGCTATGGAACTCTTCATCAGTGGACGTCCATCATAACCACACCTGGATGTAGAGGCAAGTATTAACGAAGAAATCCTGTTTAGTAGCGTTATCTATTAGCAAATGAATAAATTAATGGCGTTTGAAGTGATGGTTAGACTTTTTGTAGTTCTTAACAAAACTGATATAATTCATACAAATCCAGTCATTTCAAGCTTCCAAGTCTTGGATATAATGAAGCACACCCTTTAGGTTTTAATGCCGGTCACTGATGATCAATAATATTTTAGATGAACACCATGAAAACTATGGTTTTTCTACCAAGAGGGAAATAAAACCACATTATCATACTCATCATATTTGGAACAATAAGGTAAAAAATAGACTGAAAGCTAACATCAGTTGACCAGTATGCCTATTTTTGGAGAGCATAGACTTTATTATACAATCAAAATTTCACCAATTACTAATTACCCAATATTTTCGATGATTTATGGTGAAAATGAAAACCAGGTAGAGATTTCAGCACCGTAAGTAACTTTATTAACGAAAGTAGTACGAGTACTACCAGTTTCTACGTAAATGATTCCCGCGAAATTGCAAATTCACAGTGATGTCATTTCTTCATGCATTTATTCCCCTTGATAAATTTGAATAAAGCGAGAACAACATTGATTTGTGCAGAATAACATGGTACCATCATTTATTTCGTTGGCTTCTCGTCAGCTGCTTACAAAGGAGCTCCATTCTCCTCAAGTTTGCCGAAGCGATTTCTATAAAACGCTTGAAACCAGATCTATGTGTTCAGAAAGAATCAGTTATTAGTCTTTCCTTGCCTTGGTAACTGGATGTCTTTTTTCTCCCATCTGATTGCGTAATCTTTGTCTTTATTTAACCTCACCCTCTTTTATAATTTTGCTTGTTTCTTGTTTCTATGATTTGAGTTCAACTCAGTACATTGTTACCTAACTTATTAGTTACTTTGCATCTCTCATCTGATTGTGTAATTTTGTCTTTAACCTCACCCTCCTTTTATAATCTGTAATTTTGTTTGTCTCTTGTTTCTATGATTTGAGTTCAACTCAGTACATTGTTACCTAACTTATTAGTCACTATGCATCCAACGCACATCCCTTACCATTATATACATACATTTATTTATTATTTTTTAACTTGAACTGCCTGTGTAAAAACTATATAAGCGCAATTTTCTGAGCACTGTTTACTAGTTGTGAAACTTTCTGTCAACATGTAAAATTTGCAAGTACGTTAAAACGTTTCTGTACTTAAACCTGAAAATTTATTTAGGCTGTAAGCAGCTGACGAGAAGCCAACGAAATAAATGATGGTACCATGTTATTCTGCACAAATCAATGTTGTTCTCGCTTTATTCAAAGTGATGTCATTGGTGAGGACAAATTTCATCTGATTCAGTAACCATAGTGACTGATTTAGAATGGACTTCATATTAATCCAACCTAATCCACTGAGTAGTCACTAATGTTGCCACTGGTGAAATTATGAGTGACTGAAACTTGAAGAAACCCCAATAATACCACTACAGAAATAATCCAAGTGAATATTGTATTGATATATGTAAAGCAATAACTCAGAAGTTGATGACAATTTAAACGGAATAAGTCAAACAACTAATCTATGTTATTCAATTATTTTTAGTTAATTTTATCTTTTCAATAAAAATAGTCTTAAATAAAGCAATGAAATATTTCTGTAAATAGAGCAAAGTTTGAATTTTCTCAGTTTCATTCCACAAGAAGTAATCGGTAGCATGAGATTTCATTGCTAATACTATCATTATTAATACTGTTATTAATAGCTACAGCAGTGACATGCCTATTTTTGAGTAATCAATGGAGATAACCGCCTGCGCATTGCTGTAGAACGTTAGTATCCATTATACCGATTTATGTAAAAATTATTACTATACTTCCGTTTTACATCCATCTGCAGTTGATTTCTACCATTTCCAGTTTGATCGTATCCATCGTGATG